TCTGTGTTCCCAGATGTTGAAGCTGGATTAATTGTGAATGCTTACCCCCATCCCTTTTCTACTCTGGGTCATTCTTTACCAGCTTCTCATAACACTCCTTCAATGTGATTTTTGTTAGACAAACGATATCATGTTTCTGGGAGTGGGAAATGGATAACATGAACACAGTCATGTCCCTCCAGACTGGGGCTGATTTACGCTCTGATCCTCACCCTTGAAGGCAAGGTAGTCTGCTGGCACCCGCTAGCTCTGCAGTAGTGGGGCTGACTCTCCACTGTCAGCATTCCCACCAGAAACTTCTGTTTTCAGAGATTTACAACTTGGCTATAAAATGCTGCCCTGGGGTAGGGATGGGGGTGGATCTTACAAAATTGTTTTAAGTTACAAAAGAGGGAAAAAAAAAACATATAAAAATAAAATAAAATGCCTGTAATTTCATACACTAGTGCTGTTGAACTTTGTAAAGCTTGTAATTGTGCTGTCTGTGCACCTACCGGTATTCAAATCAATGCTTTGAAGTTCAGTGTTTTTAATATAAAATGAAGATACTACTTATTTTTAAAGATTAGTTTGTTTATTCATACAAGAACTGATGTGCAGGCCAGAGGTCGGGGGGGAGGGGGTGAGAGGATTCACCAGAGACAGAGTGGGAGTAGAACAGGCGGATCTAATGAAATACACTGCTGAGGAGAGCAGCAGGTAAGACAGGAGAGATCTGCTGCACCATGTGGGTTAGTTCCCTGGCTGGGGATAAAACTCATTTTGTAGTGGCTGGCCATAGCTTGATAGTGCTATGTCTTTAACCACTGTGCCACCAGGGAGGCCCACTACCTTTACTTTGAAGATATGGTTATCAAAGAAAATCAATGTATACCTTGCAGGTCAAGTAATAATGGAGGGCTTTCTTTCTAGTGGAAGGAATTTTAGATCTCTTGCACATGACTCAAGGTCCACATCTGGTGGAGAGGAGTGACCGACAGTAGTATTCAAAGTGAGGCTTGCTGAATAAATTACTCAGGTTTTGTGAATTGAGATAGTCATAAATCTCAGCATATGTGTACTTTTCTAGGTTGTACAGGCTAAAAATTACAGACTGGCTATTCTCCCAATGGAACAAGTATTTTATTTTTTTTTTAATAATACCTATGACACTGAAATTTTAGAGGAAGAAATAATATACAAATCAATATTAGTTGCAATAATGCTACTGTAGTTTTCTCAAATATTCTAGGACATCCATTTCAGAATTAGCATACTATCATTAAATGTTTTTTCCTGCATCTCATTCTAGTCCAAAACCAAACAACAAACCAAACCAAACAAGAAGTGTTTCATTAATTGATCACCAAAAATTTACTGAAGGTTAGTTATGTGTAAGACAACACTCTAGGTGCTGGGATAGATGTGAAGAAGAAGGAGGTATGTTTCACCTTTGAGGAAGGACGGAGACAAACAATTAACCCAGGGATGCGGAAGCTATCATCCTGAAAACCAGACTTTTAGGGCCTCTGCCCATGGCATCCACTGCAAGTAATCCACTCACTGTTAACATTAACTTTGTATTGAAAGAGTTGAGAAAATAGTGACACATATTATCTCTATCTTGTGCTTCAGAGGAAACTGAATGAAAAAAGAGGATAATGTGTTAAAAAGAGGAAAACTTGTACAAGCTTTAATTTGTACATGATCAAGTTAGCAAAGGCAATAGTCATAGTTGTTTGAGCAAATGCAGAGCAAATGTTAAAATGTGAGGAAGTCAGAATTTGGGCAGAGCTACTTACATATGGAATAGCTAAAATTACTTTCTCACTCCATTAAATTAGGCAAATCACGTGGGATCCTATTCTCTGGAATTTCAGGTCTGAGATACATGGAAGATGAAATACTTATCCCATGTCAGTTTCTTGGCTTCTTATAAAAGAAAGTCAGATTCATATTTTCTTTTGATTTCTTACGCATAAGAAATCATTGGCTTGACTTGAACCTATGTTTTACTCTTCAATCCACATGCCACTTTCTGAAATTGGAAAATACATGATTTAGAGTACAGAGACCTAAGTTTCAGTATTGGAATGTGCCTGCTAATTCATATTCAAAACTCCATGTTTTAAAAGACCATTGCTTGGAGCTTAGTCATTCTTGAACTGTACAGAAAGGCATCTATACAATCTCCTACACATATATCTATCTACTCAACCATAAAAAATGAGATTTGACTTAAGGAAATGTATAATCCAGTGGATAAAGGCAAAATTAAATAGTAAATGCATTATGATTTTGATAAATTTTATAAAAATATTTTTGATATGAGCCGTAGTAAGACCACCTAACTTTGTCTGAAGGTTGGAATTGTAGTTTAGTGAAAGCTTCTTTGTAAAAAGGATGTTTAAACCAATATCTAGGGATGACTAGGAGGAAGAGAGAGAAAGTCTCATGGAAAGTTGTAAGAGTCATGAAGGGCAGCTGTGCCCAGGAGTTGAGACAGGAATAGAGATAGCAAGGAAAGTGAGGCATATTAGAGACAATGAGGTCAGGGACACTGCTGGGGAGGTCAAGGTCAGTAAGTGCCAGCACTCAGGCCATGCAGAAGTGATGTAAGCAGACATGATAGGATTTACATTTCCAAAGAATCACTTGCAACTTCTGTATGTAAAATGTGTTGAAAGAGGGAGACACTATACTCACAGTAGGCATAGAACAATAGTCAAAAATTCTTGGGCCTCCCCGGTGGTGCAGTGGTTGAGCACTGGGTTGCGAAGCTGTCCACAGCCTCTGCAGCGCCAGTTCGATCCTCGGGTGCTCCCCGGCCACCAGAGGAGGGTCCCACATGGCATGCAGACCTCTCCTGCAGCCCGCTGCTCCCCTCAGCAGTGTACTTTGGTCCTTCTGCCTGCTCTGCTCCCCGCTCTGACTCTGGTGAATTCTCTCACCCTCCTGCGCTTCTGACTGTACCCAGTGCTTGTATGTATAAACAAACAAACAAATAAATAAAAAAATCTTTAAAAAAAAATTCTCTTCCTTCTTCAATTCTTAAAGAGAAACACCTTTGTAGGATTCCCTCTTTCATGATGCCATATGCCATGAGTTAAGTTCTGCCTCTTATAGTTTGCGGTATTTGGTGCTGCACTTAAAACCAATATGCTTCACGTTAAGCAAACTCAAAGTATATAGAGAAGTTCAAAGTGAGAGGAGTGAGTGGCCCTGTCTATGTGTTATGGGTCGAATGGTATCTCCCCCAAATTTACATTTCCAAGTAAATGAAGTACTCATCACCAGTAACTGAGAATGTGACCATCTTTGAGACTAAAACTTTAAGGAAGTAATCCAATTAAAATAACATTCAATGGGTGGGCCCTTTGAATAATCTACCTAATGCAGAGGACATTAGGACACAGACAAGGCAGAAGACAAGGAGAAACCAAAGTTACTGACACCACGATCTTCCACTACCAGTCTCTAGCTTGTGATAAGATACATATCCAGGGTTTTAGTTACCCACTTTGCTATAATCTGTTATGCTTGCCCTGGCAAAATAAAATATTTTGTGCCCCAAACTCTTTGTTTAAAAAAAAATCATCATAGATTGTCTTAGAAAATGCTTTTCTATTGATCAATTTGAAAGACGTTCACTTCTCAGCAGGAGTATAAATGCAGGGGAAGTACTTTGTTAGAGAGAGCATTGAGGGTGGGGGCTGGAGGTGGGTGAAGACACAAAGGCAAGTGTCCACTGTGTGAACTGAAGCATGGCAGTCATTTCAGTAAACTCCCCTCCTGGTCAGACTTCTGAGAGCAGGCTGCACGCTATATAAGAATGGCAGTGTTGGCAAAATTCTGAGATCCAGGTAGTGTGATGAGCTCTGCCTTGACCATGGAAATCAAACATTAGCAATCTTCTGAGTACCTGAATGCCTCATGCATGCATACTGATCAGGGAAAGGTTCTTCATTCTGCTATTTCTCTTCAAATCATCAAGCATGGGTCTGACACAAGGCTACCAATCTGCTATGTGTGGAACATTGTAAGAAAGTGGTCCATGACCTCTAGGATATTACAGAGCAGCTAACATTCACATTACAATTTGTTATCTTTCAAAGTAGGTGAACAGAAGATGGTGTGGGATGGTTTTCCAGAGGATGGAAGGAGTCCTCATTGGCACACGAGCTTGTCCATGATAGGTGAATTTCCAGCTGACACCGATACTCATCTGTTCAGGCATGTTAAGTCAGCTGGAGACACATAAATGCATCCGGCCGGCCATGGAGAAGAGCCTTGAATTTTCTTCTCTGTCACTGAGCAGTTTCTTTGTCTCTGTGGTTTCTTTAGCTTTGTTTTTCATGAAAGCACAGCAGGTACAACTATTTTAACTCCACTCCTGGCTGCGTTCCTCTTTTGTAAACATTCTCTTAAAGTTAAAATGAAAACTACCCTTCATTTTCTGACAATGGATAAAAGTGCAATTTTCCTTTCTCTGTTCTGAGTAAAACATCCGAAAACGCACAGCTAGAGCCTCTTATATGCAAATACCCCCTTGACCTCCAGTTATATTTCTGGAGTCCTTGGGATTTCCCAACATTTCCAGCTTCTCCAAATTTTCCTCTCTTCTTCCTACTATCTTGTTCTTTGGAAAATCATTGCAAAAATATTGGGATGTTTTATTCACCACATGGGCTCTTTGGGATGTGGGGCATTTGTTATCCCTGGCAGAAACTGGCAGAACCTGATTTGGTTGATCTACAGGTGCAGAAAGGACTGAGAACTGGTCTGTCTATGCATATCATTATGACCCAACACACATATAAATGTTACCCGTATATATTTTAGTAAGAATATCATAGTCATAATTACATCGGGATTCTTTTGGCTGGAAGGAAAGATACAGATAATGAGTTCAATATGCTACTTCTTTGTTTGTTTTGAATATTCTGTTGCTTTGAGCCCCACTGCCACAAAGACATTAGAATTAATATGACAAGATAAAGAAAGGCAAACGAGTGTTTTACCTGGCAAAGCCAACACCTCTGCTGACGCCATTGGCGTCTCTTAGTATTCTTGTGGAAATGACATGTCCGAAGGGTTTCAGCATATTCTCAAGTTCCTGTTCATCCATAGAAATGGGGAGATTCGAGATGTATAGGTTTGTTGGATCTTGCTCTTGTTGCTAAAGGAAAGAAAGAAACAAATGCTGTGAGTTTCGAATACTGAGACACTTACGACAAAATGGATAAACTTTTACTTGAGATGCAATCTAGATTCCAGTCTCTTGGAAGATCTTTCTCTCTTGAACATTCTTTCACAAAAGGCATTTCTTCTTTTCCCAGAATTCACTTCTTGCACAAAATGATTCTCATAAAATAATGTCATCCATCGAAATCAAACTCTCTGGCCCTCTTTCCTCAGCGAGAACTAATAAACAGTTACTGCAATTGAACTAAGGTAAAGGGCATGTTTTTCTCTTTTACCACTAAATCTGCTTCAATTATCATTCAAACTACCATCACTGCTAGTTTCTAACATTGCATTTCATGAGTTCTCTAGTGAGCAGACATTGTTCTAAGCACTTAATATGCACTATTTCATTCAATAGTCCTCATCAATATAATTGCTACCATTTTACAGTGTACAAAATTGATCCCTAGCTTGTCCAAGTTACACAGATGGTGTCAAAGCTAGGGTTGAAATCTGGGCCTTTTGCCAGTGTCTGTGGGTCTCGCTGTTCTGCTATACTGCTCTCCACCAGACCACTGGTTTTCAGAGGGTGGTCCCAGAACAGCAGCATCAGTTTCACATCCTTGGGAAATTGCTACCAATACAAATTCTCAGGTCCCACCCCAGAAATATTACATCAGAAGCTCAGGAGTGAGGCCAGCAATCTGTGTTTGGATAAGCCCTCCAGGTGATTTTGATGATTGCTCAAATTTGGGAATCACTGTCCTAGAGGATACATGAATATACACATCCGAATGAGATTATGATGTCTATCATTTTCTATACCAGCAGCAATTGCTTAAATAAACTTTGCTTAATAGAATGGGAAACCAAACCACAACTGCTAGCAGTATTTCTGAGTATGAATGTTCTCTATTTCTCACAAGTTAATACAACTAAGTTTGAATTTAGTTGTACATATGCATCAAAATTAAACTTAATGATAAATCTGACATGATTAATCATGCACATCAAAATATATCAGATTTTAACTGAATCATTATACTTTAAACAAAACAACCACCTTCAAGTATAGCAAGAGATTAAATTGGAAAAAGAAATTCTGAAGTATATAGGAAATGATAATAGTAACAGCGAAATATCTTTTCTGAAGAGATAATATCAGCTTTTGTGAAAAATTTGAGGTTTTCAATGCAATGAAAAAAAAATAACATTAAGCAAGTTTCCAAATATTATTTCAGGTCAAGAAACAATGTTGGTATGAAACTGATCTCCATTATTTTTAACAGCTTTAAATATTCAGATGGGTCATAATATTTTTATTAAGCTTTGATATGAATGAGATTTATTATTAGAGTTTTCATATTTTAAACATGTTTAGTTTTTAAGTTTTTTTATCACCATGGAAAATAGCAACAATAAACATAATCTATCAGAATCCAGCAATACAGTTTTAGCATTTAGGAGTAATTGAATGTAGAAACTGGACAACTGTAATCTTTCATCCCCTCTCCTACTCCCCTAACCCTCTCCCTCTATCTTACACACACACACACACACACACACACACACACACACACACACACACACCCCACTAATTAATGCCATGATCCTAGAGAGAAACAGAGATACTATTATCCTTTCCTAAATGGCACGTTCATGTTAGTTGCTGGGGTGGTGGAAAAAGAAAAGAAAAATGATGTTTCAGATACATAATGAACCATATGTACACACAACCTTCAATTTTTATAGTATATCACTACTCATTTAATTTTAATCTTCATATCATCACTTCATATATGGCAAGTATCATTCTATTTATTGGATAATGAGGAAATGAAGGCATGAAAAATTTATCATTTTGCGTAAAGACAATCTGATAATTAGTGAAAGGGTGAGAATTAGCTTCAGCTACCAAGTTTCTGAATTTCTAATTCACTGTATCTTCCACAAGTCCAATATTTCCCAAGCTTCAATCATTTGTATGCCATCTTAGCATTTTTTGCCAGTTATAGACTATCATTTTATTTACTTACATGTTTTCTTTATATCAATATACTTTGGGATTATGGAAACTCATTTAAAAAGATAACTTTCGGTTGCAGCATAAATAAATCAGTATTATTTAGTATAAATAGGTTACTGTAAAATACAGGGAATGAATCAATGTCATTAAATATAGCTAGATACTATTTGTGTGCAAAAGACTTTGACCTTTGTGGTTGACTCTCTTAGTAACAACGGAGATTCATAATTAAGAAAGGCTTAGAAGCATACTAGCATTACATGTAGCCTTTTCTCTTGGAGAAATAAGAATTAAAAAGCAATTAAGAACAGTTTTCTTATGATGATATCCTACACACCTTCATCGACTCAAGTTCCTAAAAGATACATGTCCCACTGCTGGGAGATACTGTGTTAACTCGGAGCTTTCCACTATAGGAGCCTACAGCACTGGGCTGTGCCATGAACGGATTAGAACTGACCCAACATTCTGCACCCTTTGTCCTTGATGAGGCTAAATAACCACAAGCAACCAAGGCTACTATCCAGAGTACTGCACAGATCTTTCCATTTTTTTTTTTAGGCAGCAGTGTACCAGTTTATCCTAATCCAAGCCCATTTCCAAATTCCCCAATTGCAAATGCGGTGCAGCTTCTTAAAATGGTGTGCAATAAACACACAGAGCTAAGTGCATGAGGGATTGCTCAGTAAGCTATTTTCTGAATCCAATTCAGACAACAAGGCCAACTCCTTAATTTGTATTCACAGAGACAATATAGCATTGGATGGTGTCATTTCTTAATTTGTGTTCATAGAATATACTGTTTGGCAGTGTTATTTACTGTTATTTATTTGAAATTCGGTGTCAGTTTCAATAGATGCATTTACTTGCCAATAGACTTTCAATTCTGCATAGAATGAACCTTAAAATAACACATATTTATATTAAATATAACTTTTATTTATATATTTAACTTATGTAAATGGATGGTCACTTTAAAGGTTCCTTGACACTATGAACCAAAGACCATTTTTTCCTTTTAAATTGGCAGAAAAATTTCTCATATGACAACTGAAATCTAAGAGAACATTTTAAAAATACTTTTTAACTTAAATTTCATGACCAGCTATCTCCAGAATGGACATAAAGTAACCTCTTATCCAATGTGATAATTTAACAGATGGAAAAAGCCCCAGAAGCTAGAAGAGGTGGTTATGACTTACTCAAGGTCACTAAGCTAATTAGTAACAGACTAGAAACAGAACCCATGTCCTTTTATATCTAGTACAATGTTCTTAATTCACGATACCACTTTTAATCTTAAAATCTAACAAACAGTAGAAAGCAGGTTCCAGTTCAAAGGAGTATTAGTGGAAATATAAATATCTTTACATTTCTTATTAGATTCACTTTGTGTATATTCAGTTAGCTTTTACTACAGGATAGGGCCAATGAAATTAAAGAGTTCCTAGCTTTATTTAACATTTTATAGTCACTGAATGGGTACTCTGTAGCAGATGTGTCTGTAAAAGTATAACTACAATTAATATATCTATTACATCAATTACAGGAACTTCTTGATTTATTATTAATTTTTGTTAAAAGATTCTGAAAAGGTTCGGTAAGTTCCCTTTCAATTTTTTTTTTTTGGTTGTTGCTGTTGATAAGATTATTTTGGTATAGAAGAACTGGGGTGTAGGCCAGAGGTTTGGGGGATGAGATGATTCACCAGAATAAGAGTGGGGAGCAGAACAGGTAGATCTACTGAAATACACTGCCAAGGAGAGCAGTGGGCAATACAGGAGAGGTCTGCTACACCATGTGGGTTAGCTCCCTGGCTGGGGATTGAATTCAGGCCACAGGGGTGATAGCAGTGAGACTTAACCACTAGACCACAAGGGAGGCACCCCATTTCCATTGCTACTGGTAGGAGTGACCTGTCATTTCACTGAAGAATTTGTGAAAAAAAATTGTTTCCTAAAATGACCTCCCTTAGCTTGGATTTTTAGTATATAGAAACTACCAAGCTGGCATATCTTTTCTCTTTTGCCATCTGCTAGAACTCAGTATTAGAGGCTTTATAGCATTGTTTCTCAAATGAGAAAACTAGTTTTGACATCTTAGAAGGGTTGTCAAGGTCACATGGCCAGTAAGTGGGTAAACAACATTCTAAGTGATATTTTTTGATGCCTGGTCTAGTCTTTCTATTAAGGTACAACTCTGAAGATTGCCCATAGATAGTTTTATTCATTGAATCTCACTTGTAGAAAGGAAAATCAATGGAGAGACAAATAAGCAATTGTTTTTTTCATGGAATGGTCTATTTTAAATGCTGTTGCAATTCAAAAATTAATAATAATAAAAATGAAATGCTGTTTTCTAACCCTGAAAACAGAAACAAACAGGAGCCAGAGTCCCCTGTGTTAACAAGGTATCCCAAATACATCAGAGATTTTAGAACTAGCTTAACACTAACATTATACAAAGATGTTTCACCCACCTAGCAATATTATCAGATGTTTGCTGGGTAGTCATAGTGATTACAGCACCTCTAGAGAAAACCAGCAGGAAACACGCTGTTCTGGTCATACTAGCTTCTATATTATACATAAATGTGATGGTTAGTATATCTGTCAAGTTTCCTGGACTATGGGGATACCTAAGTAGTAATTAAAAAGTATTCTGTATGTATATGTGATTATGTTTCCTGGTTGAGTTTAACAGTTGAATCTATAGACATAATAAAGTAGATCATACTCTCTAATGTGGACAGGCTCGTCCAATCAGTTGAAGGTCTAAAGAGAACAGAAAAGTTAGCTGATCCTTCCCTGAGTTTAGGGAAAATTCTTATCTGATGCCTTCACACTGGAATTACATCATGGACTTTCCCAGATCTCCTATTTGCTGACTTGGGAACAATCTGTATATTGGTTCTGTTTCTCTGCAGAATCTTAGGTAATATAAGGCCTTAATTTGGTTACATCTGT